ACTGTATCGCTATTTACATCAGCTTAATAAATATTTATTGAGTGCCTTCAGGACAATCATAACCATAGACAATGGTTTGACAATACTTATTGAGTTCCTACTATATGCCAGACACAGTGCTAGGCATGAAGATTTAAAAATTTATTGTTTATCTCAGATTGGTGGAAATATACATCTACACACATAAATCACCTATTGCAACAATTGCAGTAATAGAGATACATACAAGGTTCTATGAACACATCTAACCAACAAGAACAGTATGGGGGAGAGTCAAGAAAGGCTTATTGTAGGAGGTTAAACCTAAACTGAGGAGAGGAATTGCGAAGCAGAGAAAGGGCTGTCATTAATATGGTAGCAAAATTCAGAGTAAACAAAAACATCAAGGTCATATACCACAGGATATTCCAGAGAAACAGAAAGACGTTTATCTGGAATTTAGTACACAAAATAAATCAAAGACTGGGTCCTTAAGGAACCTAAGGAGCTTAGGTAAGGGGAAGTCATCGAAAGATTTTACTCAGGGCATGACATGGGACACCACTCAGGTGGTTTGTTATATGGAAGACTGGTTCAAGGAGGGAAAATGGGGTTTGCAAACCAGTTAGGACACCTTGTAAAATATATGTAATAGGGAAGTGGTAAAAAGAAAAGAGGATGATTTCGAGATATACCTAGATGTAAAAACTAGCAAAACGTTTTTATGTTTGAAATTTGGGAAGTAGCCCTGAATGACTAACAATTTTTGAGCTAGGGAGTCTTGAGTAATGTTTGTGCCATGCATTATTACCTTAAATAACAAAAGAGGAAAAGAGACAAGCTTCAGAGATGTGTATGGTTACTTCTGTTTTGGGCATGTTCATATAAAATGTCTATGGAATATTTTTTTAAACACGTCCCAAATGTTATATATGTTCATCTGAAGTTTTGGGGACAGACATTTGTGAACCATCAGATTCCATGTGCTAACTAAAACTGTACGAGTTGATATTAATAAGAGAAAGTATATATATGTAAACA